AGCTCCTGTTTAATGGACACACTAGTTGCATCCCTTTACAATATACAATCTGTTGCCATGGCAACTTCAATGATGTTCTTAACCCTTTAACTCCATGAGCACTCAGACAATACTTTTAAACTGAAGTTATGTAATTTGACAAATGTGTCACCTAGAATGCAAATGAGTATTGAAGTCAATAGGTACCTATATAATATAGGTAACTGTAGGTTTGATCAGGGGATATTGTCTAAAGTCTTAATACCAAATGTACAGCTGACTACTAGGGACATGACGTCTGGTATCATGGGGCAAATTGTGTGTGTGTGAGGCCACTGTTGGACACACCACTAGAAAACATACAAAAAACATGAGCAAACGTAATGGTCAGTCAAGTAATGAAGACCTGAGCAAGGGGAGAATACCAATCTGAGATCATTAATTTGTACACAAGTCCAGTTCATTGAAATATATTAATCTGTATCCATTTCATCATCTCAAGGTAAACAATGATCCTGAATTTGTCAGCCAGTCAATCAAATTTAAAAATAAATTTGTGTGGAGCTTAAACTAAAATATGTTCAAAAGTTTTGTTTGCAAAAAATAAATATGAAAATGCATAATGTTTTTATAAGAATTTTTTCCGTAAATTTGGTCATATAAAAAATATTGTTTACAGGAAATTTTTTGTTCTTAAAAAAATCTTATTAAGCATTAGCTTGATTAATTAAAAAAATGCTTTCTAAATTCATGTACTAAAAATAAATGTAAACACATTCAAGGTAACTAGCTGACACCACACCTCTACAAAGTATTGTTCACCTAGTCTCAAGGCTGAAAAGAAAAAGAAACCTAAAAAGCAAGCACCAAAGCAAGAAATTGTACTTGCCCTATCATCTCACCAACTAGCTCTACACAAAAACATACAGCTTTCAGCCTTAGAAAACAGACACTGAAATAATACTAGACTGTAAAATGCAATGTTCATTAGTTGAGAATGCTGACAACAAGACCAGCCACTGTTTAGGTGTTTAGATATCACCAGATACAATAAGTTATGGTGCTTTTAGAGTTGGGTGAAGGATGGTTTGAATATAAGATGATTTCTGGTTGGTTATAAAGAATAGAAATCTCATGTCTTGGCCATTCCAATGTTAGAAGTGATATAACTGGACTATAAAGATCACAGAGATTTTCAAAGATAACAATCAAACAGGGTCAACTGGGGGCAGGAGGGGGTGGGTGGGATCTCTGCTCTGATGAGGAGGAAGAGGAGGAGGATGAGGATTTATGTCTTGTCCGTTCAAAGTGTTTTCCTTTGCCCATCTGTGGCTGGCGGATAGGTCGAGGTTGTGTTGGCGGTGGTTTGGGTTTAGGCAGCACTGGGGGGCCGGGCTTGTGGGGGGGCAGCGGTTGGGACTTCTGGACAAAGTGAACAGGTGGTTGACCTGGCTGACCCAGGGCTGCTGGGTGCTGGACAACAGGTTTGGGTAGAACAGGCGGCAGGTCTTGAGGTTTCTTGGTTCCCAGCTGACTGCTGGCAGACCTCCTACTGGGGTCACACAAACTTCTCTTGGCCTCACCAGCTGTTCTACCAGAGGAGTCCTTGCCTGCGGTGTCTGCAGAAAATCTGTGTAGTTGTTGGTTGGCTGTTTCTATATCAAAATCACTCTCACTTTCACTGGTGGTGTAGCTCATGTCTCCAGCAGGGTCCCCCATGTGTGGGTCTATGCTACCTTTCTTCTTTGAGAGCTTGTGCTGGTAGCTGGCTAAAAACTCTTGCTGGGCGGCTGTAGCGCCTTCCAAGGCTGATTCTGATAAGTCTGGCAGTGGCAGGTCCCCTTCATAAGAAATAAGCATCTCATCCGGGATGTCAAGAATGGGGGGAGGAGGAGGAAAGTTGGGCTCATCATCCTCATCATCTGCCTCCCCTTCTTCATCAAAATTATCTACACGCAAACTAGAGAGTTTTTCTAATGGCTCTAAAGGTGAACCATCCTTTGTGGACTTGACGTCCTCTTCCACAGTAAACTTTCTACTCCCAAAGCTGTCTTCCAGCGAGACTATTCTCTCTAGAGAGTCTAGGGGAGAGATCTCTCTTCCAAAGGTTGGTCCTCCTTCACTCATGCCTCCCACTCCTGAATCAATGGTTCCCTCTTTGCTGGAGAGTCCTTTTGATGCAGCATACTGCAGGTACACCTGCTTAGCATTACTCTGTGTTTCCTCATCGCTTCCATCACTGGTGCTGGCAGAACTGCCAGAGTTGGTCATGTCACTCTCAGAGTTATCCTGTCTCAGACTCTCCAACGTTTCTAGAATATCTCCAGAGTCCATGGCTGTGGTCACCTCCCCAAACAGGGCTGTGTCCCCCTCATCCACTGGACTTCTCTGGGCGGTCATGCTGACGTCACTGTGGTAACTGTGTTGCAGGTCCCCGTCCTCGTGCCAGCTGACTCTCTTGGGTTCCTTCTTGTCAGACTCATCCAGTGTCCTTTTCTTCAGGGCACTCTTCTCAACCACCCCCTCAGACATGATCACCTTGTATTCACTCACCTCTTCAGCCTCCTCCACACTTTGCAAGGACCACCTGTTGTTGTTGCGTGACTTGTCCTTACTTAAATCTTCTACTTTCAACAGAGTTTCTTCAGCAGGGTCTGGTCTAAAGGTTGAGAAGGTTAAAGGACTGGAGCCACCATTGGCCCTGGTTTGTGTGGGAGGTGGGCTGTCATTATCACTGTAGAAGAGTGCGGCTGCTGGAGATGGGAGGTCAATCATAAACTGATTGTTGTCAGAGCTGGACGTGCTGGACGTTGAGTTCCTTCCAGTAGCTGAAAGTGAAGGAGCTCTCTGCTGCACTGGCTTGACCTCTGACCTCTTCTCTACACTGGCAGATCCACCAACTGGTGTGTCTTGAGGAGGGGGCTGGTTGGGTAATGTGTCAGTGGCAGGCTTTTCTGTAGTGTCACGACCATGACATGGCTGAGGTTTAGACACCTCAAAAAACTGTAGATTGAGTGAGAGATCTGATGCCTTTTTCTTGCTTTCACTTGAAGCACTTTCATGTTCTCCAGCTGTAGGAAAAGTCTTGCCTTCAGCCACTGCCTCTGGTGAATCATCTGATGTAGAAGTCTTGATAACTTTTTTCAACCTTTGACTGCCTGGTATTTTTGGGCTGTAGAACTGAACATCCTCACTGGCAAGAGCAGGATCAGTTTTGACTGTTTTTTTAACAGCAACCTCACCTGTTGGAACTGTTTTAGCAGCTTCATCCAACAATCCCTGAGGAGTGGTTTTGGTGACCTCTTCTGGCTCTAGCTGTGTTGACAAGGAACTTTTAGACTCCTCTTGTTCTGGTGCTGCTGGAGTTTGTTCAGTTGCTCCACTAGCATCATCTTTAGCAACACTTGACCTGGGCTGTAGTGCCTGAGCTTGTCTGGAGGGTGAGGATGGTTTAGCCTCAGCCCCTTTAGGTTTCTTTTCAGGCGAGTTTTTGGCTCCATCAGCTGTGATGTGGTCATGATGAGAGAGCAGCTCCTGTTCAGCAGATGGACTGGTGGTGTCGTCCACAGACGAGTAGCTGGTTCTAGCTGGCAGCTTGTGGACATTCACAAACTCATAGCGCCTGCTCAGTGGGGGAGATTTGTCTGAATGGGGCCTGCTCTTGGAAGTCTCAGCATCTGGACTTAGACATCTTTTCTCTGGATGTTTTGAGGTTTCTCCAACAGGTTTCTCACTTTTTGGTGGACAGGAAAGATGTGCTGCCTTTGTGGCAGGGCTAAGACTTCTTTGTCGCTTCAGCTTGTCTGCTTCTGAGACTCTGAAGACAGCTGTTTCTTCCTTCTGTCCGTCCAACCTTCGATGTAAAATGTAAGGAATATCTTCAATGAGATCAGTACCAGCTGATAACTTTCTGCTGGGGCATGGCTCTGACTCCAGGTGATCTTTAACTGGAGCTCCAGCTCCTACTAAACCCCCATTGGGGTACTTTTTCGTTTCTGGCTTCTGAGCCGTGTCTTTGGGTTTACTGCTGCCCTCTTTAGAACCCTCAGGTTCTTCTAATTTGCTTTCTTCCACTTCTGGAACCACAGCGTCAATGGATGTTTCAAGGACGGGTGTCTTAGCCCTGCTCTCTGGGGCAGCAGCTGGTGGAGCTGCTCTAGGAACTGGTTTCTCTGCAACTCTACTAGAATCTAAGGATGGAACTCTAGATGAAAGCCTCACCTTTTTATCCTGCCATATCTGGGCCGTGTCTGTCACACAGCAGCTTGGGCTGGTCTCCTCCAGGCTTTTCTTCACATCCTCATCCATGTACTGGGGTGACAAGGGCGGAGGAGGGGATGGAAATGGAGGTGATAGATCTGTCACTTTCGGCTGCTGGTGCTGCCCTACCACAACACAACTTACCTTCTTGTGATCATGAGCGGGCAGATCTAAATTTACATCAGTGGGCACATAATGGGGGGAGTTAGCTAACTGATCATTGGGGGCAGGTTTTACAGACTTCAAGGGCTTATCACTGATTTCATCATTTTGACTGGCTGACATAGATGTAGTGAGTGAGTGAGAGCTGAGAGGAGGGGGTGTGGAGGTGTGAGCTTGTGATGAAGGTTTGTGTTGTGGTGAAGAGGTTGCAGGTAGGTCAGATGGGGTCTGCTGAGAAAGGGCAGGATGTTCATCTACAGAGCTGACGTTGGAAGGAGAAGATAATGTTATGTTAGTAAGCTTCAGGTCAAGGTTAGGTCTGGACACTTGGTTATTCTGAGAGCCACCACCAGGATCACTGTTAGTCTTCAAGTCACCGTCCCCTACAGCAGTCGCAGCTTGGTCAGCCTCAGCAGCAATGTGGTGGCCGTCCCCTGCTAGGTTAGTACATTCATGGGACAAAGCCTTCTCCTTAACATTAATATCAACCTCGGGAGAAGTTAGTCCGTCCCCGTGGTAGTCGGGGGAGCCAACTTCAGAGTACAGACCAACATAGCGAACAGGAGAGTTCAGTTCAGGGGAGAGAATAGAGTGAGCACCTTTAGTTTCTGAAGAGACATGGGACATTCCTTGGGTATTCCCTGGACTGTTTTTGATGTTATCCTCGTCTTCATCGTCGTCTGTCATGGCGCCCTCCGTTCTGGCGTTGACTGCCTCGATGACATCCTGGTCAATGCTCAGACCGTGCTCCAGGCGTGGGGAGTTGAGAGATCTGGAGCCTGACATGGAGCTATCGCTGTGGACGTCCACAGACTCCACCCTCATGGCGCTGTGGGGCGTCCCAGAGTGGTCCCGCAGGATGCCGCTGCCAGGGGTGTGGTTGCTGTCCAGTATGTGCGAGCCACTCGAGCGCGACCCAGAGCTGGTGTGGAGGTCAGCGGAGGACGAGTGCATGCCAGGCTTGGAGGAAATCTTGGGAGTCACACTGGTACTCCTACTAGAGATGCGTCCGCTGGTTGATCTGAAAGGGGAGATAAAGTTTATCAGCTGGAAACAGGAACAGTTCAGTGATTACTACATTACCAGTATGACACAATGACATGTTTAAATGAAGTCTGATCTCTTTTATCAGTTTAGTAATTTTTATTTCTAAAATGATCTAAAAAGCTTTTTAAAACATAATGCTATAAAATGAATCTTATGAAATCAGCATCAATTTTTTAAATGTGTGAACTATTAGTTTTGAATACCATTATAGTTGGAAATAAGGTTTTAGATAAACAGCTTTACAACATAAATAGCAGGAAAATATTTAGTAGTTAACATAAGCATAATATATTTTTGGTCATTTTTGTTTTATATAATATAAATATATGTATATTATTTTATGATAATGAATATGTTTAATTATTTATACATGTAATAAATATTTAAAAAATAAAAAATAATGTAACTTATTTTGGTATTATGTGCTGTAAGAAACCTAGAAGGGTAATAGTATTCAAGCCAGCAGCACAAAAGTTAAAAACTTGACTTTTTATAGTGAACTAAATGAACCAGTTGCTGCAGTGTCCAGCCCTTTCACACTTGCTAAGCATATAGAAAAGTTTTGAACTCATAAAATAGACACAGCTATCTCCAGAACTGTGAACCTTAATAAGCTTACTGTTGGGTGTAATGTTTTGTTTTAGTGCTTTTTTTTAAAATATAAAAACAGATCTCTTCTTAACAATATTGTAGGAATATTGTTTCAAGTATTTAGAAAGCTATTAATGAGAAAACTGTTTTTCCCCAATATAACAATGATGAGCTAGGTACACTTCTACTTCTTTGACTGCTAATCTATGATTAAAAACAAGCAGAAGCCAACCCAGGGAAAGATTAAGAAAGGAATCAACTTACGTTCTGGAATCCAATTTTGAAAGCACAGATGAAGGAACACATAGTTGTATTTGTTTTTGATAACATCATCAATTTACTTAGGTTAGTAATTATTCAATTTAAATAAACACATTTTATTTAGAAAATATTTCAGAACACTAAAAAAAAAACAATCAATGTCTCACCTTTCAAAATGTGGCCTTTTCCCAATATTTTCCCTGACAAATTCTACAAGTTGTTTCTGTGTTCTCCCACAGTACCTAGAAACATGAATAAACAAGTAAAACATCACAGCTCACTGATAAAGACAACAACACCATACATTTCTTCTATTACACTCTACCATTTTACACACATGTATAAATCATTTGTGAGGGCAATTTTTAGCAAGTCAAAAAGGAAAAATTGATCGGGGTCATATGGTGCTTGGGGGACTGAGTGGCCTTGCTGTAGAGAGGTAGATTGCTAGCCCGTAGGTCTCGAGTTCAAATGTGGGTTCAAGTCAGTAGAACGTCCCTGAGTCCACCCAGCTCGATGGGTACCTAACTCACATTAGGGAAAGTAAAGGTGGATGGGCATAAAAAACCCTGATTGATGCATGCAAGTGCCTTTTTGTAACTCAGGAGTAACTGATTTAACCAAACATTTCTTAATGATAGTGAATTAGAGGGTTGAGTTCAATAAATTTCATTGATACTTAAATGAACATTTGAGTCAATCAATTTAATTATAATAAATATCTTACAATGGTACTTCAGGTATCAGTTAGAGATTTTTTTGTTACTCAAACAATTCTTGAGTGACATGAGCATGTAACAAAAGTTTTCACAATGAAAGATTTGTTACCTGAAGGATGAGCCCCTACTGACAACACGTGTTTTGTTGCGTGGAACTTTAGCCACCACCTGACAACGAAAGAAGGCGTGATGCTCTATACACCTCTTCCAGAACAGCTTACACCTGTCCCGGGTGTCAAAGAAAAACTCCACTGTGTCTTTATAGTAGCCCTGGAACAGGGGAGGGGGACATTCACATTTCACATTATCACTCAATTGTGTAGAAATACAAATATTCAGTTAGGCATACAAGAACATAGGTTAAGAGCAATATTTGTAGCCATTAGAAAAGTTATTAACCTTTAGAGAAGTTATGAACTTGAAGCATTGAAAATGAAGTTAAAACTTTGAAAACTATGATGTTTTAAGTGCTGATAAAAGAAAACTTGTGTTAAATCAAACCAAAAGCAACAAGTGGCTGTCAACAGACAGGGTGAAGCCTCACAAGCTGTACATTTAATGGGGGCAAAGCAAAGTTAGCAGTGGCTACTCTCAGTAGCATTCATTACAATTGGAACATTTATTCTTAGAAATGATTGGGAAATAATAAATTACAGTTTACACAGCAAAATTTTAGCTAGTGATCATTGAAATTTTAAGATAAATTACTTTGTTTAGACGAACGTAAAAGAACTATATTTTAAATTCATGTATAATATTTTTTAGGAATGAATAAATACCCTTGTAACCTTAACACTGCCGTAATTAAATATGTTTGAATATAAGTTTTTCCATTGTTTCTGGATACATTCAGAACAAAATGAATATTTCAATGCTGGGACCGAGTCTGACATCTTCTAAATAAGATATAAAACCAGCAGCTATCAAAAGCCAGCTTAACTTCCAGCATTTCTCGCAAGCCAGCATATTGTGAAAAGATTAAGAGGGATCAAAAATTAATGCTTTGATGAGATAAAAAAAAAACTGTGTTGAAAATAAAGAAAATAAAATCAAGAATTGTTTTAAACTTCAGGGAAAAGATAGCGGGTATAGCAGGAAAGAAACAAATTATCTCCCTGGTTTTTATGCCTTGTTCCTCTTTTGAGCTGAGACCTCAATTTGTTTCATCTATGTATGGCATCCATTTTGTAAAAGACCAGTGTGGCTTAATTAGCAAAGATTAGAGGGGAAGTTAATCAGTCCCAATGAAGAATGGCACAGCTTGTGTAACAAACAATCAATACTAGAGAAAAACTCCATTGTTGGGCTGCGCACTGAGTTTTATCGTTCTAGATAATATTCAAGTCTGTATGTTTCTGTATTACATTTTATTTTAAAACAAAAATAAATTTTTAAATTAGTAAAAATGCTATATTGGGTAAATAGCAATTAAGTATAGTTAATATAGAAATGTGTTGTTACTATTAATAAAACTTGTTAGTTAATGCATGTTTACTTGTTAAACAGTTACATGTCAATTGCTACAAAGTACTAGCCATCTGTTGATAGTGCTGGGATCATTAGCTGCTGTCATTCTAAGACAAACAGGTAGACAGTCCAGTAAGACAGACAACTAGACATCCCACTCAGTAACTGCAGTCCTTCTAAGACAGACAGTCCAGTAAGACAGACAACAAGACATCCCACTCAGTAGCTGCTGTCATTCTAAGACAAACAGGTAGACAGTCCAGTAAGACAGACAACTAGACATCCCACTCAGTAACTGCAGTCCTTCTAAGACAGACAGTCCAGTAAGACAGACAACAAGACATCCCACTCAGTAGCTGCTGTCATTCTAAGACAAACAGGTAGACAGTCCAGTAAGACAGACAACTAGACATCCCACTCAGTAACTGCAGCCCGTCTAAGACAGACAGTCCAGTAAGACAGACAACAAGACATCCCACTCAGTAGCTGCTGTCATTCTAAGACAAACAGGTAGACAGTCCACTAAGACAGACAACTAGACATCCCACTCAGTAGCTGCTGTCCTTCTAAGACAGACAGGTAGACAGTCCACTAAGACAGACAACTAGACAGTCCACTAAGACAGACAACTAGACATCCCACTCAGTAACTGCTGTCCTTCTAAGACAGACAGTCCACTAAGACAGACAACTAGACATCCCACTCAGTAGCTGCTGTCATTCTAAGACAGACAGGAAGACAGTCCACTAAGACAGACAAGTAGACAGTCCACTAAGACAGACAACAAGACATCCCACTCAGTAGCTGCTGTCTTTCTAAGACAGACATGTAGAGAGTCCACTAAGACAGACAAGTAGACAGTCCACTAAGACAGACAACTAGACATCCCACTCAGTAGCTGCTGTCCTTCTAAGACAGACAGTCCACTAAGACAGACAACTTGATCCTACTAAGACATATACATAGACATCCCACTAATACATAGATATCCCACTGAGACAGACCATTGACAAAAGATAGTCAACTAGAAATCCCTCTATGACACAAGAAAAAACAGCTAGAGAGGTCAAACAGGAACAAGAACTCTCCTAATGGTAAGATCAACTACATTCTAGTTTCAAATCTCTACATTTAGAAATGATAAAAAGTTGAGTTGATCATAAGATAGGCTTGTCTTTGATCTGACTAGTGTCACTTCATTAGAGACTACTTCCCTCACATCAAAGTAGAGAAAATCATTAGGGATGCTTAATGACATAATTTCAACAGCTAATCAAACTGCCCTCTAATAAGAAAATATTTACTGACCATTATGAATTAGATCAAACTAATTCAGCATGCTATAGCATTTGCCTTAGTTGCATTAGTATCATAATGTCAAATGCTTCAGCTTTTACAAAAAACAGATTTGTTTATTGTTCCATGCAGAAAATGTATATTTGCATAGCGCACTAGCATTGTGTTAGTTCACTGACAGAAAGCTATCAAGTATAGAATGTTAGGCTGTGGCTATTAAACTTATGGACATTAAACACTATATTGACATTCCCTGCAGTAAGTTTTTTTTCAGTTAAAGTACCGGCATACTAATTAGACTAATTAGCACCAGCACAACACAAGTATAACCAGTCAGGCAAACACTGGCATACAGTAGCCAACAAGCACCAGCACACAAACAATAAGACCAACAACTTAAGTACCAGCACACAGCCAACAGGACCACTAGGTACAAACACTCAGCCAACAGGACCAACAAGCACCGGCACACAGCCAACAAGCACCGGCTCACAGCCAACCAGCACCAGCACTCACTCAAGAGAAGCAACACATACCAGCACACAGCCAACCAGCACCAGCACTCACTCAAGAGAAGCAACACATACCAGCACACAGCCAACAGGACCAACAAGTACCAGCACACAGCCAACCAGCACCAGCACTCACTCAAGAGGAGCAACACATACCAGCACACAGCCAACAGGACCAACAAGTACCAGCACACAGCCAACCAGCACCAGCACTCACTCAAGAGAAGCAACACATACCAGCACACAGCCAACAGGACCAACAAGTACCAGCACACAGCCAACCAGCACCAGCACTCACTCAAGAGGAGCAACACATACCAGCACACAGCCAACAGGACCAACAAGCACCAGCACACAGCCAACAAAAACACCTCCCATGTACCCCACTCAAGTACACCCGACCAAGATGATACAGCCCTCATTTTATTTACTAAACAGGTCAAGCACTCTACTCTGACAGTCCATTATTCATGACACTAATGCACATGATTGCTGTTACTTGTGGATCCATTCTACCTAATGGATGGATCACTCATTACAATTAACTGATCAACCCTTTACTTTACAACTATTTAATTAGTATTAAAAAATATTAACCAACTAAAAAAGAAATAATCTAGGATGAATTGGTTAACTGAAAAAAAAAATGAGAACAACAGAAATGGAATAAAACATAAGGAAACCAAGGAACAGAATGTTATTGGTACAAAACAGATTAGGATATAAAGAGCCAGTACCCTTCCAGATTTAGTAGGTGTGTGGGCCACTCCCTCCAGGCGCCGATCCTAGAAGAGGAGGGAGGTAAGAAAGTTATGTGACAAATCAAAGTACAGGAGCATGCCTTGTATAAGCACAGTGGACTTGTAACTCTCACAACATAAGTGGCTTAACAGCTAGGTAACTATCAACACATCTATACCAGCTAGTTTGAAAAAAAGGTTATTTGTGTTCAATAAAATAAAAACTGTTAGTGCAATTTTCCTAATCCAGCTTAAAAAATTGTTTTTAAATAAGTTTCAAATAAAAGCATTTGAATTTTCTTGATTAATAAACATGATTCGTAGCATTTGCATGGTTAAAGCAAATATAAAATGTATTGACAACACACAGAACAACAATGTGTGGGAAACATTAGGTCTAATGGGAGGGGGAGGGGGGGAGAGAAGCTGGGGAAGCAGGTCAAAGGTCAATAAATTCTGTTCAAAATAAATTTATTAAGAGCATATCTCTGGTAGTTAGTGGTAATTAAATCAATTTCACTTAAATTATTTAAAAACATTAAGTTGATTGATAAAGCTTTACAAAAAATAGATTTGTATCATTTGATTATTGCTGATCGTTTTCAAACTTTTGCAATGTCTTATTTTTCTTTAAGGAGCAGCTTGAAGATGGTTATAAAACGTAAGTTACCACATTTTCTTTAGGGATCTTCCAGCTAATGCCTGGTGTCTGTAGATAATTCACAAGAACAGATAGGACAGTGGTCAAGTTGGAGCTTAATTGGACAGGGGTCAAGTTGAGCCCATTTAACCAGCATTAATAAATTGGTAAGGATAGTGGTAGTTGGAGCCCATTGGACAGTGGTCAAGTTGGAGCCCATTGGACAGTGGTCAAGTTGGAGCCCATTGGACAGTGGTCAAGTTGGAGCCCATTGGACAGTGGTCAAGTTGGAGCCCATTGGACAGTGGTCAAGTTGGAGCCCATTGAACAGTGGTCAAGTTGAGCCCATTTAACCAGCATAAATAAATTGGTAAGGATAGTGGTAGTTGGAGCCCATTGAACAGTGGTCAAGTTGGAGCCCATTGAACAGTGGTCAAGTTGGAGCCCATTGAACAGTGGTCAAGTTGGAGCCCATTGAACAGTGGTCAAGTTGAGCCCATTTAACCAGCATAAATAAATTGGTAAGGATAGTGGTAGTTGGAGCCCATTGAACAGTGGTCAAGTTGGAGCCCATTGAACAGTGGTCAAGTTGGAGCCCATTGGACAGTGGTCAAGTTGGAGCCCATTGAACGGTGGTCAAGTTGGAGCCCATTGAACAGTGGTCAAGTTGGAGCCCATTGAACAGTGGTCAAGTTGGAGCCCATTGAACAGTGGTCAAGTTGGAGCCCATTGAACAGTGGTCAAGTTGAGCCCATTTAACCAGCATTAATAAATTGGTAAGGATAGTGGTAGTTGGAGCCCATTGGACAGTGGTCAAGTTGGAGCCCATTGAACAGTGGTCAAGTTGGAGCCCATTGAACAGTGGTCAAGTTGGAGCCAATTGAACAGTGGTCAAGTTGAGCCCATTTAACCAGCATTAATAAATTGGTAAGGATAGTGGTAGTTGGAGCCCATTGAACAGTGGTCAAGTTGGAGCCCATTGAACAGTGGTCAAGTTGGAGCCCATAGGACAGTGGTCAAGTTGGAGCCCATCAGACAGTGGTCAAGTTGGAGCCCATTGGACAGTGGTCAAGTTGGAGCCCATTGAACAGTGGTCAAGTTGGAGCCCATTGGACAGTGGTCAAGTTGGAGCCCATTGAACAGTGGTCAAGTTGGAGCCCATTGGACAGTGGTCAAGTTGGAGCCCATTGGACAGTGGTCAAGTTGGAGCCCATTAGACAGTGGTCAAGTTGAGCCCTTTTAACCAGCATTAAAAGATTGGATAGTGGTCAAGTTGGAGCCCATTGGACAGTGGTCAAGTTGGAGCCCATTGAACAGTGGTCAAGTTGGAGCCCATTTAACCAGAATAAAAAGATAGGAAAGGATTGTGGTCAAGTTGGAGCCCATTGAACGGTGGTCAAGTTGGAGCCCATTGAACGGTGGTCAAGTTGGAGCCCATTGGACAGTGGTCAAGTTGGAGCCCATTGGACAGTGGTCAAGTTGGAGCCCATTGGACAGTGGTCAAGTTGGAGCCCATTGGACAGTGGTCAAGTTGGAGCCCATTGGACAGTGGTCAAGTTGGAGCCCATTGGACAGTGGTCAAGTTGGAGCCCATTGGACAGTGGTCAAGTTGGAGCCCATTGGACAGTGGTCAAGTTGGAGCCCATTGGACAGTGGTCAAGTTGGAGCCCATTGGACAGTGGTCAAGTTGGAGCCCATTGAACAGTGGTCAAGTTGGAGCCCATTGAACAGTGGTCAAGTTGGAGCCCATTGGACAGTGGTCAAGTTGGAGCCCATTGGACAGTGGTCAAGTTGGAGCCCATTGAACAGTGGTCAAGTTGGAGCCCATTGAACAGTGGTCAAGTTGGAGCCCATTTAACCAGCATAAATAAATTGGTAAGGATAGTGGTAGTTGGAGCCCATTGGACAGTGGTCAAGTTGGAGCCCATTGGACAGTGGTCAAGTTGGAGCCCATTGGACAGTGGTCAAGTTGGAGCCCATTGAACAGTGGTCAAGTTGGAGCCCATTTGACAGTGGTCAAGTTGGAGCCCATTGGACAGTGGTCAAGTTGGAGCCCATTTAACCAGAATAAAAAGATAGGAAAGGATTGTGGTCAAGTTGGAGCCCATTGAACGGTGGTCAAGTTGGAGCCCATTGGACAGTGGTCAAGTTGGAGCCCATTGAACAGTGGTCAAGTTGGAGCCCATTTAACCAGAATAAAAAGATAGGAAAGGATTGTGGTCAAGTTGGAGCCCATTGAACGGTGGTCAAGTTGGAGCCCATTGGACAGTGGTCAAGTTGGAGCCCATTGGACAGTGGTCAAGTTGGAGCCCATTGGACAGTGGTCAAGTTGGAGCCCATTGGACAGTGGTCAAGTTGGAGCCCATTTAACCAGAATAAAAAGATAGGAAAGGATTGTGGTCAAGTTGGAGCCCATTGAACGGTGGTCAAGTTGGAGCCCATTGGACAGTGGTCAAGTTGGAGCCCATTTAACCAGAATAAAAAGATAGGAAAGGATTGTGGTCAAGTTGGAGCCCATTGAACGGTGGTCAAGTTGGAGCCCATTGGACAGTGGTCAAGTTGGAGCCCATTGGACAGTGGTCAAGTTGGAGCCCATTGGACAGTGGTCAAGTTGGAGCCCATTGGACAGTGGTCAAGTTGGAGCCCATTGGACAGTGGTCAAGTTGGAGCCCATTGGACAGTGGTCAAGTTGAAACCCATTTAACCAGCATTAACAGATAGGACAGTGGTGAAACTGGACATTTTCCAGATGTGAGATATGATTCCTAGGATAGTGAATGGTTGTTGCAACCCCATGTAGCTGCATAAAAAACCAAATAATACAAGACAACAGTACCACCAAAGCACTCACAAACAAAGCAACTTTGCAAACAACATTGATTAAATACAAAACATTTTAATTCATGGACTTTTTATCTGATTAAATGAAAACTAAATAAAAACTCAAATTTTAATAAACGGAAAATCTTCTAATTTTAGCAAATGTTTTTCCCCCCAAAAGCTAGCAGTACTAATTTGTTTTTCAAATTTCCCGAAATAGTTGAGCTACCAGCAGTTTTAATATATTTTTAATAGATTTAGCGTTTTTAGTTGTGTGCAAAGTCGCAGTGAACCCAATATAACTTCATCTGCCAATAGGTTCCATTAGGAAGTAAGAAAAAAATAATCAATAAAAACTCATCATGTTTAGAAAAGAATTAATTAAGAAATCCCAATAACATTAGCTAATTTATCTGTTTTTAAGCTTAACTAACAAAACAGTAATAATGGTGGAAAAAAAATGCCACTGACAAAAGACAGAATACGAGACTCATTAAGCTGAAGAATGATTTTTTAACAAGCTGCCATCCATTTTAAAATGACATGTGCAGTTAGAGGAGGTACTCGATAAATTATTACTACCTCAAAATCAATCTTCAAGACAAAAAATGATTTTGCTCCAAGACAGATTGCTCTCTTCCATAGTTGACAAAATGGTTAAACAGTGATAAGTATACTTTACTGTATAAAACTATAGTCGACTATCAGTACAGTTTACTAGATGACATGTAATTTACTATGGATGGCAGAGGTTTAGAGAGGAGGTGCAAGTTTGCTACACAATAACTTACATAGGTGTCTGCATGTAGCTTGATGAGGAACTTCTTGCGTTTGAAGCTGAGCTTACGAACTTTGGCCCAGGAGAAAGTGTTAATTTTGGTGTATTGTTGGAAGACTAGAACACCCAAGTGGGCAACAGCCAAGTTCAAGGACACGCCTTCATGGTCCTGTGGAAAAAAGGTTAGATAGATAAACTTCAGCATTCATACTTTTAAATAAATAAATTTTTTTAGATAATTCAAAACATTTTTGAACATCAAACTTGTGTTTATAAATGCCACAAAATATACAGATAAGTTTGAAATAATGATAGTTCTCATTAGAATAAAAGCATTAAATACAATAATAGTAAGTCTTAAAATAGTATATTTAAAAAGAAAATCCGTTAATATTTCTGCAAATGAAAACAAAAAAGTATAATTTATTGCAGTTTTATATCTTCTTCAGTTGAAAATGAAGGTGATGCATTTTCTGCCAAGTAAATAAACCAATATTCCAGCACTAGCTGACAATATTAGCTGGAAGCATTAGGCTGTGTCATTACAAAATTCAGCCTCTGATCTGGTCATTTATTACAATAGAAATTATGGTCCACTAGGGGAGCAGAAACTATTTCCCAAAGGAACACTTATACACTCTATTGAAAACTGTTGTAGGAAACATTTGAACACATGGTTACAAGATTACACAGACAATGGAGGCCAGAGTTGAGGTTTGAGTTAAAGTGGAGGTTTGAGTAGAGCCCTTCAAAGAGGTCTAGTGTAGGTCTGTAGAAAGGTCTCAGTAGGTGAGTGTACTAGTCTTAGTCAAGATCTGTGCAGAGGTCTTCATAAAGGTCTAAATTTAGGTCTGTGCAGAAGTCTGTGTAGAGGTCTTTTAATAAAGTGTCTAAGTAGGTCTGTGTAGTACTTAAGTTTTCAAGAGAAGTCTGAATACTAAGTATTAGCCTCAATGATATCTAGGTCTGAGTATTGGATATTTCATCACAATCCTACAGAATTCTGCTGCTGATGTTGTGTCTGACATGACAGTCCATCACATGACATGCCATTGCCTGACAATCCATCGCTGACATGTGGGTAAAATTCATGTTTATTTAACAAACATGATAGCCCTGGGTCAGGTTGCCCAGCGCCAGACAAGCCAGGGAATCCAATGTAATCCCCCCTAGCATCATCCAGATAAGCTTGTTAACATTGCAAGAGCACAGGTCCAGATTACTCTCCTGATATCCAATAGATCACGCACAAATACCAGGGATGATTTTTACATTGATCAGTTCCAAATTTATTTAGTACACTTAATCAATGAGACCTGACATTCAAACTAAGACAAAAATCAATCAAAGTATTTTAAGCTACAGCCAGATCACTTACCTTGGCAGGCTGCATCTTGATCCCATAGAGCTCCACCTTGCGAGCAGTGTCTAGTAAATTCAGGTCTGCTTCAGAGGGTGACTCACCACTGAACAGAGGAGATGGTTGCAATCATTAATTAAGCTCATTAAACACAAATATTTGATTACAACCACTTATTTTGTTCATTGTCAATAGTAGTTATTTACATGAAAAAAAAAAAGAATTTCTTGATAAAGCTATAACATAATACTCTAATTATTTCAAACTTAATTTTTTTATCTAATGATGGTTCAAATAATTAACTCTTGTCAATCATAAAAACGAGTGAGTGTGCATAATAAGGCATTCATACAATACGTTAATTAAAATAGGATATAAGAAATGTGTTAAGATTCAGCTTAATTACAGGTCATTAAAACACTCCTTTAACACGTATATTTTTAATGGAAGATAATGGACTTCAAATATAAACAACAAATTTGTCTGCATTCAAACACCCACAAACACTGACAAGAACTAAAACATAGACAGCAGTCCAAGAGTTTCTTGTTCCATTTTTAAAAACACCCACAAACACTGACAAGAACTAAAACATAGACAGCAGTCCAAGAGTTTCTTGTTCCATTTTTAAAACAGTTTGATGGAATCATATCAAAAGTACAACAGTTAATCTCAATTTATCATTAGCAGGGAGAGAGGCCAGAAATGTTCAGAGACCCACAAATGAAATCTGTCCACTTGTAAACAGCAATAAATTCACCTCAAGTGTAGCTGTGGTGTCTCCCAAAGCAAACTTGAGCATGGGGAGAAGTCTCCATTTTTACCTGACTAAATCTACACAGTTCTAAGCCAAAGATGATTTATCTCATACAAAACCATCAGACTTGCAAGTATCATTCAGAATGTTTTAGTGACAAAATTTGATCTATTCTGGCAGTCAATAAATTTAAAAAAAAATCAATTTATATTTTCTTTAGCTTTGATGTTGATAACCACAAGCAAACAAAATTTGTAGACCAAAGTTGTGGTACTTAGATACCATGTAGTAAATCAACCACAATAGTATTATGATGCTATTTGGATATGAGTGCTTAGTATGCCACCATTTTACATTAAATGCTTAAAGAAATGATGAAATTAAAGATGAAAATTGTTTGTTCAAAAACCTATTCTAAGATAGATGAGAACAGCCAAGTTAAGCTTGAACCTATAAATCTAGTAATGCCTTCAGGCTTGCAAGATTAACTTAATCCTAACAATTTTCTTTCAGATTAACCGTGTGTGGTAAAACTTTCACAATTTTCGTTCAATTGGTGATTATGTAATTTTTTTTAAGAGTGAAAATAATCTTTAATAAAACATCAGAATCCACTATTATTTTATTTTTAGCTGGCAATTATAGTTGGAAAATTACTTACAAGTTTACTTATATGTGTTGTCTGTGGTAGTCCATCACTTTGGCCATAAAGTCATACGTCTGTCATAATGTTTACTTACATGTGTTGTCTGTGATAGTCCATCACTTTGGCCATAAAGTCATACGTCTGTCATAATGTTTACTTACATGTGTTGTCTATGTGTCTGTCATAATGTTTACTTACATGTGTTGTCTGTGGTAGTCCATCACTTTAGCCATAAAGTCATACGTCTGTCATAATGTTTACTTACATGTGTTGTCTGTGATAGTCCATCACTTTGGCCATAAAGTCATACGTCTGTCATAATGTTTACTTACATGTGTTGTCTGTGATAGTCCATCACTTTGGCCATAAAGTCATACGTCTGTCATAATGTTTACTTACATGTGTTGTCTGTGATAGTCCATCACTTTGGCCATAAAGTCATACGTCTGTCATAATGTTTACTTACATGTGTTGTCTGTGGTAGTCCATCACTTTAGCCATAAAGTCATACGTCCGTCATAATGTTTACTTACATGTGTTGTCTGTGGTAGTCCATCACTTTGGCCATAAAGTCATACGTTTATCATGTTTACTTACATGTGCTGTCTGTGATAGTCCATCACTTTGGCCATAAAGTCATTCGTCTGTCATAATGTTTACTTACATGTGTTGTCTGTGATAGTCCATCACTTTAGCCATAAAGTCATACGTCTGTCATAATGTTTACTTACATGTGTTGTCTGTGGTAGTCCATCACTTTGGCCATAAAGTCATGCGTCTGTCATAATGTTTACTTACATGTGCTGTCACATGTGTTGTCTGTGGTAGTCCATCACTTTGGCCATAAAGTCATACGTCTGTCATAATGTTTACTTACATGTGTTGTCTGTGGTAGTCCATCACTTTGGCCATAAAGTCATACGTCTGTCATAATGTTTACTTACATGTGTTGTCTGTGGTAGTCCATCACTTTGGCCATAAAGTCATACGTCTGTCATAATGTTTACTTACATGTGTTGTCTGTGGTAGTCCATCACTTTGGCCATAAAGTCATGTGTCTGTCATAATGTTTACTTACATGTGTTGTCTGTGATAGTCCATCACTTTGGCCATAAAGTCATACGTCTGTCATAATGTTTACTTACATGTGCTGTCTGTGGTAGTCCATCACTTTGGCCATAAAGTCATTCGTCTGTCATAATGTTTACTTACATGTGTTGTCTGTGATAGTCCATCACTTTAGCCATAAAGTCATACGTCTGTCATAATGTTTACTTACATGTGTTGTCTGTGATAGTCCATCACTTTAGCCATAAAGTCATACGTCTGTCATAATGTTTACTTACATGTGTTGTCTGTGGTAGTCCATCACTTTGGCCATAAAGTCATGCGTCTGTCATAATGTTTACTTACATGTGCTGTCACATGTGTTGTCTGTGGTAGTCCATCACTTTGGCCATAAAGTCATACGTCTGTCATAATGTTTACTTACATGTGTTGTCTGTGGTAGTCCATCACTTTGGCCATAAAGTCATACGTCTGTCATAATGTTTACTTACATGTGTTGTCTGTGGTAGTCCATCACTTTGGCCATAAAGTCATACGTCTGTCATAATGTTTACTTACATGTGTTGTCTGTGATAGTCCATCACTTTAGCCATAAAGTCGTGAGTCTGGAGATGCTCAGGGACAAATTTGAATACTGCTAGATACGTGGGGTCGGGACACTCATCTATGTCAAAGTCCCCGATCTCCCCCTGGACAATGTACGAGGCCAGGAGGGCCGCAGTATTCTCACTACATCGGAGCTCTCCTCGTAATAGATCTTTGCGGACTTGTAAGGCAAAAAGATATCTGCAGATAAATTAAAACACCAGTAACAGATTTGTATGGCAAAAAAGATATCTGTAGATAAATTAAAACACCAATAACAGATTTGTATCGCAAAAAAGATATCTGCAGGTAAATTAATTACCAATAACAGATTTGTAAGGCAAAAAGATATTGGCAGATAAATTAAAACACCAAAAAAAGATTTGTAAGGAAAAAAGATATCTGTAGATAAATTAAAACACCAATAACAGTCTTTTCATAGCTTAAAATCTTAAAGCTATCTACTGATAAACTTAAAACAAGTTACAGACTTGAAAAAAGATCTGTGAAGATATTTGAGACTAAAATAACATTTATATTAAGGGGGGGGGGGGGGGGTTAGAATAATTTTTACTCCTTAATGTAAACTACTTGATATTTTCAACATCATGTTTGTGTCTTGAAATTTCCCACATCACAGACTTTACCTGGTAAGTTCATCTTCCAGCAAACCAGGATCTGGGGTGTAGAATTTGACACAGAAACGTAGAGGGATATCAGGGGAGCCAATCTGCTTCAGTACAGTCTTGTCTTTGTCCAGCCAACACTGCAACACAACAAAATAACATGCAATAATTAGCATGTGAGACACAGATAAAGTTATTTCCCCTTTTCAAAGGTTATCTCCCTTTAATGCGCCATATATTTTTAAGAGAGTGCCCTCAGTACCAGTGGGGGGGAGATAGAGAACGGTGGATCACAAGATAGCCAACTCTACTCCATCTACCCCATCGACCACCATGTCTCAAAAAAACACAGAATACACCAAACTTGTCATTCTGGAACCTTCACACTAATTATGACTTTAGAATTACTAACCATTATACTGCTATGAACACTGCCTTTTATTGGAAAATTTAGCTTCTGAAACCTAATATGTTAAACTAACTGCTTATAAAAAAGCTTAAAAGGATACCATACTTTTGTCCACAATTTTTTTAAATATTAATTGTAAAGGCTAAAATGAACTTGGAAGAGTTGAGAAGGCAAAAAAGTGCTTGAGTGACAGGTTAAAAAAATGCCAACTAATTCAGTAAAATAAGCTGGGGTTAAAAAAGATACAGGCAAATCAACTTCTACGGTCTTAAGGGACAGAATATAATGAGGAAATGTAAACTACTTACATCATCTCCATGTTGGTTTGTGTATTCTAAATCAAAGTAGTCTGCCTCAAGCAGCTGTAGGTGGTTGACCACAGCATCCCACAGTAAAGATCCAACACCTTTCACCTGCATTCAGAGATTGACACTTCAAATAAACATCTTCAGAAATATAGAGCTCAAACTTATTGAGCTGAATCAGAGCACCCACTCAAGTTATAAAAGATAAGAAATAATTAAAGCGTAAATGTGATGATCTAAATCAGACCACCAACAAGTTGTAAAACATAGGAAAGAATTAAAGGCGTAAATGTAATGATCTAAATCAGACCACCAACAAGTTGTAAAACATAGGAAAGAATTAAAGGCGTAAATGTAATGATCTAAATCAGACCAACAAGTTGTAAAACATAGGAAAGAATTAAAGGCGTAAATGTAATGATCTAATTCAGACCACCAACAAGTTGTAAAACATAGGAAAGAATTAAAGGCGTAAATGTAATGATATAAATCAGACCACCAACAAGTTGTATAACATAGGAAATAATTAAAGCGTAAATGTAAAGTTCTAAATCAGACCACCAACAAGTTGTATAACATAGGAAAGAATTAAAGGCGTAAATGTAATGATATAAATCAGACCACCATTAAGTTGTATAACATAGGAAAGAATTAAAGGCGTAAATGTAATGATATAAATCAGACCACCAACAAGTTGTATAACATAGGAAAGAAGGTGTAAATGTAATGATATAAATCAGACCACCAACAAGTTGTATAACATAGGAAAGAATTGTAGACAGAAACTATCACCATTATAGCTAAACGAGGCAGCCCAGCAAAATAGTATCACATAATGAAAAATTTATTGGGACAACTTTATTGTGCTTTAAGGTTTCTTTTTTTTTCTGACCCAGTTCTTTTGGGCAAACATACAACAATTTTTAGGGTTAACTTTTTTTGACCCATTTTCCAAATGGTAACAATAATTTTTATAGTCAACATTTGCTCTTCTTTACTGAAGCACTTGCCAAGAGGTTTTAAAGCCACAAGCCAGCAAGGAGTTGTTCAAGGGGAAAAAGCCATTTGTTGGGGAAGATTGTCTCATCCACTTCCTTAAACGTTGACCAAATCTGCCAACACACAATCCCATTTTGTTAATGGGAGCTTGGTGGCCCACAAAATTGGTCTAATGGCCAACACAAGATAACTGATGGCCAACATGAGATACTTAGGATACATGTGGTGGCCTAAACTGATCTCATGGGCCAACACAAGATACCATACAAATAATTGTATTTAGAACCAGAAGGTAAAAATATTACCACAACAACAACCATAACATTTCTTTAAAGTAACAAGCTCAACTAATGGGGACATAAAACCTGTAGCCAGAGGTAGAATAACAACAGCAAAAGTTAAAATAACAACAGCCAAAGTTAGAATAACAACAGCCAAAGTTAGAATAACAACAGCCAAAGGTAGAATAACAACAGCCAAAGGTAGAATAACAACAGCCAAAGTTAGAATAACAACAGCCAAAGTTAGAATAACAACAGCCAAAGTTAGAATAACAACAGCCAAAGTTAGAATAACAACAGCCAAAGGTAGAATAACAACAGCCAAAGTTAGAATAACAACAGCCAAAGGTAGAAAAACAACAGCCAAAGGTAGAATAACAACAGCCAAAGTTAGAATAACAACAGCCAAAGGTAGAATAACAACAGCCAAAGTTAGAATAACAACAGCCAAAGTTAAAATAACAATAGCCAAAGTTAGAATAACAACAGCCAAAGTTAGAATAACAACAGCCAAAGTTAGAATAACAACAGCCAAAGGTAGGAAAACAATAGCTGAAGATAGGAATACAATAGCTGAAGTTAGGAATACAATAGCTGAAGTTAGGAAAACAATAGCTGAAGTTAGGAAAACAACAGCCAAAGTTAGGAAAACAATAGCTGAAGATAGGAAAACAATAGCTGAAGTTAGGAATACAATAGCTGAAGTTAGGAAAACAATAGCTGAAGTTAGGAATAGAATAGCTGAAGTTAGGAATACAACCAGCCAAGTCAGAGGTGTTGACACAGAAACTGCAGCATATTTCTTAAACAAGTTCTCAAACATATATAAACCTCAAGATCTTCTCACCAATTGATCTCTCTTTTTCTCTCTCTTTCTCATTTCACTCAAAATATCCCCTTATTTTAATGGTTAATTGAACTTTAAATTCAGAAACAGCTGTGGAGTAATTTTATATGTCAACATCGCTATGTCATTATATGATTTTGTAGATGCAATACAAGTTCGACAAACTTCAACAATAGTCTTGTAACTTGTTCTGGCTATAGTGGTGATGAGCTACGCAAGGATAAAGACATGCTATTCAAAAATACGAAAAAATGAAGAGCATCCTTTTCAATGAAGAAAACGATTTTCTTTACTATTTTATACGAGGAGGGGGGATGAAGGGAAGGAGGTCGTGACGTCATATTACAGGTGTACCTGGTTTTAAATATGTCGGCTAAAACTGCGTGACGTCATGTATGGACTAGTCCTTGGGCGATGCTTTTAAAAATATTTTTTTATCCGCATGTTTGTCTAGCCGACTGTGAGTAAAATAACGGTTTGCCGTGCGATGCTGTACGTAAAATAACAGAGCAATCTGTTGGTTTGCCGTGCGATGCTGTAAGTAAAAATAACAGGGCAATCCGTTGGTTTGCCGTACGATACTGTACGTAAAATAACAGGGCAATCCGTTGGTTTGCCGTGCGATACTGTACGTAAAATAACAGGGCAATCCGTTGGTTTGCCGTGCGAGCAGTGACAAGTTGACGCCGGTGACCGGCCATCGTTCGCCTGGGCCACAAATTTGGGCTGCTGTGTTTGGGCATCAGCATCGATAGAGGCGGGTCAAATGAGATTAGGAGTGGTCTCTCACATACACACCTCCCAGCACACCGTGATTAGGAGTGGTCTCTCACATACACACCTCCCAGCACACCGTGATTAGGAGTGGTCTCTCACATAGACACCTCCCTGCACACCGTGATTAGGAGTGGTCTCTCCCATACACACCTCCCTGCACACCGTGACTCGCTACCCTCTCCAGCCCCTACTGGATCATACGACAGGACCCCGGTGGGGAAGGTTGCGGGGATAGACCGAATGGCCAGATGACGTCAGTAGGGAGGGAAGTCGGGGGGGGGGGGGGGTGAGGGGAGTCTGGGAGGACGAATTGAAACCGGAAATGAAATGATATTTTTAGCTCGGTATTATTTGTCTTTAACTACAGGGGGTGAGTGCTCATCAAAGAATGATGACGGGGCGATATTAAGTGGTGTAACGCACTCAGGTTCTGCACGGGGTGCGTGACTTGACATGAAAAACACTTAAAAGAGAAGCATCACTAGCAAGGAGACGCTGCCACAATGTAGAAGAAGAATACGGCTTTAAGTACACTGGAACCAACCTACATGCTCTGAAGTGTTAAAAATAAATCAGAAAAAGTCCTCGACCGCACAAGACTACTTTAAAACAGTATTGTTTTACTGGCATTTTAAAGCCAACTAGACCATTTGGTCACATTAAAACAACTGGCCTTCAGCTTCTGGGATAGACTCGAGAGACGGCTATAAACAGAGCATAAAGCACTTTTGTACTGCTGAAAATTTAATGCCACGTTCGTTCTACTTAACACCAAGGTGGGAACAACCTTCCACTTGATACAAGAGTGGAAGTAAGTTCTACTTGATACAAGGGTGGAAGTAAGTTCTACTTGACACCATGGTGAAAGTAAGTTCTACTTGATACAAGGGTGGAAGTAAGTTCTACTTGACACCATGGTGAAAGTAAGTTCTACTTGATACAAGGGTGGAAGTAAGTTCTACTTGACACCATGGTGAAAGTAAGTTCTACTTGATACAAGGGTGGAAGTAAGTTCTACTTGACACCATGGTGAAAGTAAGTTCTACTTGATACAAAGGTGGAAGTAAGTTCTACTTGATACAAGGGTGGAAGTAAGTTCTACTTGATACAAGGGTGGAAGTAAGTTCCACTTGACACCATGGTGGAAGTAAGTTTCACCTAACACCATGGTGTAAACAACTTCCAAATTGATTTACTAACACACTATCTTTATCTCATCCACCTTTCTAAATGCCCAACTCTGTCACCACTGTTATCCGTCCAAGGCCCAATCCTTGCCCCCACATCTAAGTCTCAAGAGACCTACCTAACTGCGATAATTAACAGCGTTCACCTTAGATGACACGTCTCCCCAGTATAAGCCGCGGCCCTACAGTGCAATGCCATAAAAACGTTCCACAGACCAGCAGGACCCGTGTGTTGGCCGAGAAAATTGGAACCACTCACTGGGTCTGTAAACTTATTCACGTCCGTCTTTTATCCACACGCATCTGGCATGTAATATGCACAGCACTTGACTCGATCTAAGCACGTTTGGTATCATCTGCCGGGGTCAATACAGGTTTGATATCTTAGATAATCTGACCAGTTCAATACAGATTTGATATCTTAGATAATCTGACCAGTTCAATACAAGTTTGATATCTTAGATAATCTGACCGGTTTAATACAGGTTTGATATCTTGGATAATCTGAAAAGTTCAATATAGGTTAGATATCTTACATAATCTGACCAGTTCAATACAGGTTTGATATCTTAGATAATCTGACTGGTTCAATACAGATTTGATATCTTATATAATCTTACTTGTTCAATACAGCTTTGATATCTTATATAATCTGACTGGTTTAATACAGCTTTGATATCTTAACTCGCTCAATAATTTGACACCATCGGACTAGTTCAATATATGTGTAACACTCATTTAAGGATACCAAACGTTAATTACTGGGCATGATTAGTCCGCTTACACCAAAGTATAATTGAGGGTTGTTTGAGGTCAGGGTCTAAGGAGAACTGAACATCCGACGCTCAGCTTCAGTACCGATAAATAAGGAATATCTCGCTTAAAGTGTCGCTATTTTTGGAACTTGGAAGTGATGCATGTACAGCGGAAATGAAAGCATTGCAGTTCTAGAGTGACAGCTTTGAACAAGATTCGAATGAGACGGCTAAGACAAGTAGGACACACGACGACCCGCTC